CACTAACTTTCTCCTTGTCGTAATCATAAGGATTACATTATTGATAAAAGGCCTTGCAGAGCAACCCCTATGTTTCGTGTACATAAGGCAAAGGCTATGATAATAATGTAGGGTTACAGGGAGGGACAACATTAAACAGGTCTGCAGAATTTTGGAACTTGTAAGTTGAATGCAACCAACTAGCCTTGCACAAGGTGATACTGCTATATGCTGCAAAACAAAATGTCAACTTGTAAAGCATTCCTGGACTCTTTTCAAGTTGCCATTGGGGGGTGGGGGGTGGACGGAAACCCTGAAGGAAATCAAAAAGAAAAAAAACAGAAGTCCATTCCACACATACCTCAACAAGGCCTCTCCCAGTTGGAGGGGCGTGGTCTCTAAAGCCCATGAAAGTCTTCAGTTGGAGAACGTGATTTATGACACACCAGCCATGAAGATGCTCTGGTTGGAGAATGAGATTATGACACACCCAGGGGGGAGGGGGAAAACAGGGCATAGGTGCACCATACATTACGTGAGGCAAAGCTGGCTTCATTAGAATAAGTGCCGAAATGTTGCTCCTAATAAATACTTGAATTTCTTTTGAAGTTTGGCTCGAGGCTCATGATTTGATTAGGGCTTCCATGGGAACCCTGACACAAGAAGCATTTTGCAAATTTTAGTATAGTACTGCCAGTTTAATATGGTGGATTATCCCTTGTGTGGCCTGCCCTGGAACATCAAGCATACCACTGATGCTTTTCTTCTCCTGCCAGTGTCTTTAATTCTTCCAAGTAATTCTAAGAACTAAGGGCAAATGATCAAATAACTAGCTTTTGTTATCTGGCCAGTCTTAGCTTGATCTTGGAAGCACTCCTGTTTTTCTTTTACTTTAAGTTTGCAAGCAGCTGAAATACTCAATCATTGGTTCATACAGTTAGTCAGGCAAGTAATTCTCCTAGCTAAAATTTCTTCAAGAAAGGGTCATGAATGAAATTAAAGCCAGTCAGCTGCTCTTTGTAATTCTCATCTCTCTGAGCGATATCCCATATTTAGCATGATTTCATCCTTGCAGTTTATATCCTCTCTTTCTGCCTACAGAAGGCAGAAAAGCAGCAATTTAAAAAAAGAACAATTAAAATCTCATAAAAGTACTACTAAAATCACCCAGTCTAAAAAAGCTTGACTAAAGAGAAAGAAATTGATTACTTTTGTGGAAGCAGACAAAGTATGCTGAGTACAATTCCCCAGCTTAGAAGCAGGAACAAGACACTTTCTGTCTTTCCACCCAGCACAAGGCCTTTAGAAAACAAAGTCTTTTTAAATTCTCACAGATTCAGTTCAAAACAGTTAATCCTTAACATAGTTTGACTCCAAACTGCTCAAGATTTTAAAGCTTAAAATGTACGTCTTGAATTGTGCCCAGAAGACAACCAGTACAGGTCTTTCAAAATAGAAAAAAAAATGCTGTTAATATAATGCATTCGGCTTCATTGGATTTACTCCCCCTGACAGATCAAGAAGATTTGCAGCACAAAGACCAACTCTGGATTAGAATTTCTCTAGGCTGAAATCAGTTTTTGAGAGAGAACATTTCCATTTTATTTTCTTACAAACCCAGCAAGCTAGGTAGTAGGTTTCTCCAGTCTGAATTCTTCCAGAAGTGGTCAGTCCTAATACCTTATGGTTGAGAAAAGCCAGCTTTAAGACATGTGAGTGCTGGACTGTATAGGGAGCTATTCAGCGTTTCACCCTACAGTAAATAAGGTGAAGGTAAACCATTGACACCAAAATGACTCCAGGCTTCCAGTCACTTTTACCAGCCCAAAAAAGAACACGAGAATTTGTCAACTCTGAAACAGATCAATCCTGCGGCAGCCACCTTCTGTTTCTCAAGTTGCCACACAATTCGGGAAGGGGGAGAGAAGAGTGGAATGCAAACTAGCCTAAACAACCTACTATCTCATGGGAACCAAAGTCACTCCCAATAGGTGACGGCCAGAGATTAAGACTGGGCGCCAAGGAGACACCAGAACACCTTACTGGACAATGTGGCCTGTGACACAAGGGGAAGAAGAATCTCTAACATTTAATTATACTGAAACATCGGGAAATAAACTAGAGCTGGTTTTAAGATCATCCATGCCGAAAGGATGTACTCAATAAAGCAGTTGAGGAAATGGAAAGTCTCGGAGTGCTGACTTGTTTGGGTTCAGTAGTCAGAAATTTTACAGAATTACTATGAAATGGGTGGATTCCCTTGGTTTTGTTTTTCCTTTCACTGCCATTTGTCAGAAATGGTGTAGGGTCTCCTGCTTGGGTGGGGGTGGGTGGGTTGGACTAGATGACCTACAAGATACCTTCCAATTCTTAATCTTACAGATTAATTTTACAGATTAATAAATAGTGCTTGCAAGAGTGAAAACCAAACACCATCACTTTCCTTAAACATGACAATGGGATTGGATTGTGCAATTATCTGGGATGCAGAATTTGGGCATATTTCAATAGCAGATGTGACAGATTATAGGTGCAGAAGTGCCCAGTACCTATGATCTTTCAGCCAAGTTATTTCTGAACACAGCTCTGGTGTTTAGCTAAAAGAGTACTCTATAGGTTTGTGCTCTTCAGCAAAAGTGTCCAAAAATAGTCTGGGGAAGGGTGATGGCAGCTCAAAATTGCCATGGAAAGCAGTTCCCAGTGACAGAGGGGCATATCTGCAGCAGGCTAAAATAGACAATAGGAGTTGGACAGATCCAACTGTGTTATCAACCTCATCATTTTCCTTCTAGTCCACATCCATGGCAAACATTGTATTGGGAGAAGAGGAAAAACTGGAACAACTAGACCTGACTTTACATTGCCTCCATTGATAACTGGGAATGTGATGAAGACAATCATTTAAAAATATTTAGCAAGACACCTCCAAGTATGTGCAAAAGGATGTGAGAATGACCCCAATAATGGATAGAGCAAAATGTTTCAGGAGAGAAATTAATGCTTTTGTGGAACTCTCCTTACTATATGTGCTGAACAAGAAAATAAAATTAACAGTTCTCTTCTCAGGCCCTCACATTTTAATTTCAGTTTGGGCTGAGTCCTGAGAAGAGAATCCAAAATGTTTCTGGATGGCAATGCCAGCCATTGCTGTTCACGTTTCCCTCCCTACAGAATCAGAATGCACTTCAATTGCTGCCGAGAAGATTGCTCAGATGGCTTGCCAATAAATAAAACAAATAAATAAAAAGGCAATAGCAAACAATAAACATAAGAGAATGGGTATGAGCAAATTTCCATCCCTTCCTTTCACCTGGAGAAGACATGGGCCCATGCAAAAAATTTGCAGCTCATCCATAACAAAGAACTCAAGGCTGGGGATGTTTGCTCCTGCCGTCTGCTTTATAGCTTAAAATATTAGGCATTAAAATGGGCAAGTTGTTCAAACACCATTACTGACACTGCTGTTAACCCAAATAACAAATGTCTTCCTTTGAGAAACCTCGTAAAAACAGAGAATCCAATTTAAAAGCATTTCTGCCGCTTGTTCAGAATGTGAGAGGTGATTTCCTTACAACCATATGCCATGGCCCGAGCTTGCTGAATGTGAGATAAGCATGACAATTTCCAAGTTCTATTGGTAAATATCTATTATGCATTTCTTCTCCGGGTGTTAATTGCCCCATTGCCCAGCCAATAATACAATTCCAGGGCTTTCAGGATGCTGTTGAATGGAGTGAAGCCCAGTGTGTAAACGACTAACATTTCTTCATTCTAAACACAGCAGCAGATATGTCACTGGTTCTACCTCTAGCTATAATAAGAAATTATTTTCAAGGCTTTAAGCATGTGTGTTTGTTCAAGTGCCAACAGAGAAATATATGGGAAAACAACAGGCTCCAAATGGTGGCACGATGCTCTATCTCTCTCCGTAGCATCATGTCCTGAATGCAGAATTGGCCCTGTATAGAAATATTTGAAATAAATAGTTAAGACAACAGTGTGTTGAGAAGGATGAGCAAGAAAAAAATGTGATAGGAAAAGCACTCCTATAAATAGGTGACACCCGTCAAAATGTCTATACATTTAAAGGTGACATGTAGGACACATTGGTTTGTCTACTGTCAGAACATAGTTACAAGAAGTACACAAAAGGCAGAATGTTAGTACTGAATTGTTGTCTATTCACCAAGGTCAGGGAGAAAAAGCTATTATTTTTGCTTAGTACCAATCTATAGGCTATTCCATATTCCTTTTATCCTGATGGAAGCAGAGGTTGTATTCAGATGGTTCTGACCAGTTCTGGAGAACTGGTAGCGGAAATTTTGAGCAGTTCGGAGAACCGGCAAATACCACCTCTGACTGGAGATTTTACAGTATCCTTCCCCTGCCATGCCCACCAAGCCACGCCCACAGAACCGGTAGTAAAAAAAATTGAATCCCACCATTGGCCACATCCCCATAGTTACGTAATCAAAATCCAGGCATTTGGCAATTGGCATGTATCTATTATGATGGTTGCAGCAATCTAGGGTCCTGTGATTGCCATTGTGCAACCCTCCCAGCTGGCTTCCAACAAGCACAGTCAACAAGGGGAAGATGGATTCACTTAATGATCACCTGATTCATTTAACAACTGCAATGATTCACTTAACAAATGACTGGTAAGTGATTTATGGCAAAAAGAGTCATTTTTCTTACACGAAGGGCGGCAAATAAATTTAGCAAATAAATTAAAAAAAGCTTGTAATATTGGACATGACCCACTTAGCTTCCTTGCTTAGCAACAGAAATTCTGGTCCCAGTTGTGGTTTTAAGTTGCGGACTGCCTATACATGTAAGATACCATGACACAGTTTGTTATGTCCCCTCTCCCATCCCAACTCTTCCCTGCAGGGATGCCCAATTGCCCATGGCATCTTGTGAACAGGCAATGAATCTGAACATAAAAGCTGGGCAGTGGATGATTCAGCATTGATTGCACTAAGCCAGCCCATCCAAATCACGAGTATATTCAAATGGAATAGTGCTAAGGAGTGTTTTTTTTTACTTGGTTACAGTTTACAAACCTTCAGAATAGACCATAAAACTCTTAAACAATGTTCTTAACATTTACAATAGCCCCAAACCCGTAACATTTCAGTAACACACTAAAAATGCACATATATTTCTAAATATAAAGTCCACTGAGATTCCACACTGATACCATGTCCTCTCCAAGGAGTGAAGGAAAATTGAGTCAGTAAAATATTGTGGCTCGCGCCGGCAATTTTTCTTAAGGCTTCTGCTGACCAAGATTTAAAGCTTGCAAGCAATTTCTTTGGAACTTGTGCCTTTTCTGGAGCTGAGCACTTCACATTTACTGGCTATCAAATGCTGCTTGACTATTTAAATCATGTCCAGCTGCAAAAGAACAAAAAAAAAGTGTTTGAAAAGAGACTATCAATTATGGAAAAAACATAAGAATAACTTTTGAAAAATACTCTTTTTCAGGTTTTTTTTTTTAATATCCTGGTTTTCTTCCGCTAAGGAGGACAATTCACTAAAATTTGGACTCATTATTATAAGTGTCGAGGATAGATTTTGTGTGTAATGATTCAGGATTTAACAGAAGCTGGAACTCTATTGCTAACATAGAGTAAGCATTATATTCACAAAATACATTGATTATTTTTTCTACTTTTCTTTGATCTGAATCTATACATATGCCCATGCACTCCAGTGAAAGTAAGTCTGCATATTAAATTGTAAGTATAAAATATATTCCTTAGCCTAGTAATCAACAACACATGTATTAGAAACCATATAGAAATTGGGAATGATTACCGTGCAGACCCACCTTGCTACCTAAGCTTCCAACAAAAGAAAAAAAGGAAATAAATCGACTATACTCTAAATAAACAGTGTTATGAAATGACACACAGAGGCAGAATCAAACTGCAAATAACTGCTTGATGAGAGGAGAATTACTCCATGTTATTGTTATTCTCCAAATGTTGTATTACAGCTGGAGTGGCCCATTCTTATACTCCTGAAGTGCTTCTGCATTGAGGTGCTCTCTGTTACATTGAGGGTGAAACTTTATAAGAGTGGCTTCATAATGGCAATAAAGTTTTCAAATGATACAAATCAGTGTTTCAGTTGCTGAGGTGGAGAAACACTGACATAAGTAATGGATAATCTTTGCATCTTTGAGGAAGATGTTATGCGACAGATTGGGTTACGGTTTTATTTAAATGTGCAATACAACAAGAACAGGTATATTGCTTCTTCTTGCTACTATCACTTGCAATTCAATAATGAGCCACAAATATCTAGACTCAGGCCCTCTTTTACAATGTATATCCTTAAAAAAACAAGATCAACTAAAAAGCCATCTTTTTGATGGAAGACAGAGTCAGATTTCTAGGCTACAGTTTCACCATGCAACTATATACAGCACTTGTGCTCAGCTGTCCATATTCCTAGATCTGTTTATTAGGAAATGAATCCAACTGGAACTTTATAAGTCAACTGAAGTGAAGCATCTGACTTCTCATCCTAAAACCACTGAGCCAGGGGAGAAAGTGGGAGAAAGGAGAAGCTGTTGTAGTTAGAAACTCCAATATATTTTCTACTCATTTACCACATAGGCATTCTGATGGGTGTTATGCTAAACTTATCCAGCTGGAAGAAATGTATCTTTCGCTCCAACTGCTACAGGATCTCTCCATCAATGGAACTAATCAGGGCTTTTTTGGAAAGCTATTTGCTTAAAGATGTCAGCCTTGTAATTTGTTACTTGCTGAGGATGAGCAAAAACTCTTCAGGGCGGGATGCACAGTCAGATCCAGGCAAAGCAGAATTAATGCCTCACCTTCTAACACAACCAAATGATGTGTCCTTTGAAAGCTTCTCCACAATTTGAAATTTCTTTTTATGAATTCCCTGATTAAAATCCGAGGGGCCCAAATTCAGGTAAGGTTTGGTTTAAGAGGCCAATTTGCCAGTCGGGAGACAAGAGACCAGTCAATGCTATAGGACAGGGGTGTCAAACTCAAGGCCCGCAGGCCAGATCTGGCCTGTGGGTGCTTAAATTTGGCCCGCCGGGCTGCCCTGGAAACAGCAAAGGACGAGTGCCTCTGCTAGAGAAAATGGAGCTCAGCAGGCCGCTGGCAGAGGGTTGCAGGAGGCCGTCGCAGCTGAAAACGGGGCCCAGGACGGCCATGAGCAGCCCTCCCGAGCTCCGTTTTCGCTGGCAGAGGGTTGCAAGAGGCCATCGCAGCCAAAAACGAGGCTCAGGAGCCCGTTTTTGCTGGCAGAGCACTCGGGACACCACAGGCGCCCCCAACATGAGTGACATCGAGCTGGCCATGCCCACCATCCTGTCCACACCCATCCCAGTCCCCCGAGGTCAAACACAACCCTGACATGGCCCTCAATGAAATCAAGTTTGACACCCCTGCTATAGGATATTGGAGGGTGAGTAATGTTTCTGACTCCATGTGTCACTATGCAGCACATGTATATTAACCAACATTAAAATACTTACCAGATCATCAACATCACCACCCTCTTCTGTCACTGGTGAAACTTCCAAGGGCTTTTCTTTGGGAGCCAAAAACTACAAACAAAATTCATTTTCATGTAATCAGCATTATATCTTTATTTATTTATATCCCACCTGTATTATTTATTATTATAACAATCAAGGCAGTGTACATATCTAATACTGTCCGTGAATGTATCTAACTCTTTCCTCCTCCTATTTTCCCAACAACAACCCCACCCTGCGATGTGAGTTATTAAAGATTAATTTCTCCTCCATCTCTTATTAATAATAACAACAACTTACAAAAAAAGGAAGAAAAATATCTGAATCAGGAATGTTAAAAGGTTTGGAAAAAAAGATGTCACCCTTTTGGATATTACACTTCACTTAGGAAGTAAGATAGGCTCTTGATAATAAGGATGATGCTCTTACATGCATTTTCTCTAGAGCATCTTTCACTGAGTAAGCAAGCATACACACTGCACTCTACATCACTGTTAGCTTCCTCACCATTACTGGAAAACCCATCTATTTGGCAACTAGGCAGAAGGACAAAACTAGACAAAAGAGACCAGAGTAGACAGAAGGACAAAAAGGTAAGAAGGAATGAAAGAATGAAAGAAATGCTTTAGGTTGTATGGAGAATCTCCAGGAATAGAATATATCCAATAGTGATCATTGCCTTTGTATGAAATGGGTGACTCAAGGAAGCAAAGGCCTAAGAGGGTCAAGACAAAACTCTTGTTCCCTTCCACACTGTCACACTCATGCACAACATTCCTGCTTTTATGTCCCAAATAATATTCATCCATCAAATGTAGAATTGCAGAATGTAAAGAGTAGAAGACATACTGTGAATACTAGAAACAGCAAATATCCTATCAAATGCCTAATGAGTACCAATTATAATTTTATTCTTAAAGTTGTCATATGATATGAGTAAATTGCCCATCAATCACTTAATTTTACATCACACAAAAAAGATCAACAATATTTGATTTCCTTTTTTTTTCTTTTTAGTAACAAGCTTTGTTTTGACTCAATTTCCCAGCTATAATATACATAGAACATTAATTTAGCAGTATTACTTTTGGTGCTTTTGATTACCACGTACAGTATGTGTGATGGATTGTATCCTACGGTGCCTTTTCACAGAGTGCAATAGAAATCATTGATGTCAAAGATTTCCACTCGTAGCCCTCAGTCCTTTAGCTGTAGAATTATTGCTATGAGAATTTTTTTTTCATATCAATTGGAATGACTGTTATCAAAACAGAGAACAGATGCAAACTACTTTGCCTTCAGAGAAGAGGCAAATTTTAGCCCTCAATAAAATAAAATAAAATAAAAGCAGAAGGAAATGAATAAGAATTTTACTGCCCTAAATGATATAGAGGTATCTCATTTGAAAGCAGAGTATGCACTGGAATTGAGGTTGTGACCTTAACCTTACTTCTAAAAACACTGTTTAACAGAGATCTTGAGTCTTCTTTCTTTATATTAGTTCCAGTCTAGCTTGGAAAGAGAGAATTTTGGCAAAAAAACAAACAAAAAAAAACCTGAAGCAAGTGTGCAATAGAAGTGGAACCAACAAAAGGGTACCTCACATTTCAAGAATGAGGCTACATCCTTACGATGTTGGATCTAACCTGATTAGCTGCTTTATTTGTGTCTGTCTGTCTGTCTGTCTATCTATCTATCAAAGTAAAAAAGCACTCATGCATCATCACAAAATCTCCAGAACCGTAAAGCCTATAAATTTGGCACGTATATTCCTCTTGGCTTCTAGGTGCTCACTAAGAAAGGATTTTTCAAAATTACTATCAGAGCATTAGTATTTCCTATATAATTATTAACATGCTCTGATGCTAAAGAGTTCTAATCTCCCTCCCCACCTGAAAATAAATCTTTTCCAAATGCAAAACACAGGCAGAGGAGAGGAGTTTCAGTTTCAGTTTTTCTTTCACATAAGCAAACAGCTTTACTACAGAACAGTTGACCTAAGCCATGCCCAGTCTCCTTGCTGTCTCTTTCTTGCTCACACAGCAAATACTGTTTCAGTTTTCAAACCGTCCTGAACTCTCTCACACACTGACAGGACACTAGCCAGATGAATACCAATGGATGCTGGTAGGCAGAGGCACAATTGCCTGATCACATAGTTTCGTAGCAAAGCACGGGTACCCTGCTAGTATCCAATATCACTTCTCTGGTAACCTACAGGCAAACTCTATGGTTAAAAAAAACATATTTATTTTAAGACTGATTCCGCAGCCTTTTACAACAAAACAAAACCTACAGAAAGATTTATATAGTAAGAAAGATTGCACAGTTGTGACACAGCATGCCTAGATGCTCCTCTTTCTCTGACATTGTGGATGTAATGCAATTATTGTAAAGGCAATGTTGAAGCAACAGCAAACTGTCAAATTTAAACACCTTTTTGCACTGGAGCAAATCCCATTTTGCAGTTAATTAAGGTAAAATGCTATTTTTGAAAACCACATATTTACTCCGAGGCCTCCAAAGTGGCACCATAACACAAAATGAAATGTAAACAGCACATAACTGAAATGTGTTATGTGATGGTGATAAATTGCTTAGCAACTATGTTAAACTTTTTTTTCATTTTGAATCAAAAATCTCTAAGCATCAACAGACTGTTTTTTTCTACTTCCTGACACGATCTGCTTTATATTGATACAAAATGAAATTACATATAAAAATCGTGTTGAAATCCTTCAGTTGTCAGAAAAGTGACAGAAAATGCTTGGCCCACTTCTCTTATCAACAGTGGAACACTTTCTATGTTTGCTCTTTTGATTATGTATATCAGTTTTAATGAGAACTACCTTCTCAGTGAAAAAGACTGAGGGCCGACGTAGAGCATGAGTCACAAGACAAGTTGTACTGTATCAACTTTTTACAAATGACTGTTTACTAGGACCATACATGCTTTGGAAATAATTCTGAAGACAGGCTTCTGATGTTGTTTCTGTTGCTTTTGTTGTTCAGAAAAGCAGTTTTGATGATTAGATTTTGCATGAGAGTGTAAAAAGGGTATTGTTACTTGAAAAGTCACATCATTTATTAAAGCAGGGGTCCTCTTGTTTTCAGGCATCTACAGAAATCTGAAAAAAGTTAGAAATGGAAGTGACGTCGCGGCGACACCAGTCGCAAGGGAATGAAGCGCTCCGTCCCTGTTCGTGGACTCCGGAAGCAGCCAAAGCCACCTAGGAGCACGCAACTCCCCTGTACAGCCCCAGGGCTTTTTCTGCCCTCTATGCCACGTTGTGGAGAAGAGGCAGCCATGATGGCTACCACACAACTGGAGACAGATTAACATCTAAGAAGAGTGCTGGAGTGGACTTAATGACAGTGTTTGGAACTGGGTGAGAATAATCCTTTTTATTTAAAGTGCAACTCCGACAAGAATATTCAGAAAAGAGAGACTCATAATTATCCTTAAAGTGGCGGTGACCTAACACTGGGAGTAAAATTCTAAAAATTTAAAAATGGAAGGGAAAGGAATTAAAGGAAGAAAATAGAAAAATTGTTAAAAATACAGAAAATTGGATTTTCAAATTGGACAGACATTGGCTTTGGATAGGCATTTTAAAATGCTGAAATCATACACAAAAAACCTAATATAATATTTACTTTTGGAATATATCAGTAAAGTCTGATAAGAAAGACAAGACAAAGTGAAAATTGATTTAAGAGCGCTATCAAAGGAAGGCATCATATTTCCAAGTCCTGGAAAAACCTGGTTTATGGAGAATTAAAAATGAGAAATAAGAGAACTTTATTATCAAAAGATCCCTAAAAGCTTCAATATAAGACTCAACTGGTAGATGGATTTATGAAGGTTTTACTCTTAGATTACTTAAAAGAACAAATCAATTAATTTTGGGATATAAAACTCCGGACATTGGACATTGAATTTCTTATTTGAAAAGTGGCTTTGGTTTGAATAAAAGATTGTTGGACTAATGGACAAAATGAATAAAATAAACAAACACACATATGAATGGAAACTGGAAAGAAATTGCTTTGGAAATTCAGGATATAAAAGACACCTTGACAAGAAGATGCAAGGAGATCTTGAATAAAATACAGAGCATAGACGTAGAGCTGGAAATTGAGACACAAATGACAAAAAGAAAGCAGGAGGTCCAGAAAGAGGAGGAGTCAACTGAAAGAGTAGCCAGAAAAACAGAACAGAAAAAACAAGAAACAAAAAGAAATGATAAAAAGGAGATAAAAATGAAAATGGCAATGATTGATGAACTAAACCAACAGAAGACTACTTTAAGGGAAGTTAAACAGGAATTGGAATTGCAGGGAGATTTTTTGGGGAGAAAGATTGAGTGACATAAAAATAATATATTGAAATATTGCATAAGATAATAATGAAAGATTACAACTTAATAAAAATAATTGTACTATTATTAGAATTACATAACTTGTTAAACGTAAATACGATATTATTTTATGTATATTAAAATGTGATTAGAAGGGTTTTTTAAAAAAAATATAATAGTGGCATAATTAAAAATTAAAAAGGGGATAAATAATGGAAAATTACAACCCAATATAAATTTGTGAATTATTAGAATTATATACTCTGTTAAACATTGCAAATATGATTATCAATATATTATTTGTAGTAAAAGCAGTGATGTTAAGAATATGGAGATTGACACAAAAATAACTTACTGAAATATCGAATAATCAAGAATGATAATTTAACAAAATAAGTATATTAAGTTTTAAAAGATTGTAAATTGTATTCAACATGAAGAATATTGTCATATTTTTTTAAATGTAAGACACTTGTGCCACACTGTTCACACAATATGTTTGTTGAAACAAGAAAAAAAAATTAAAGGAAAAAAAAAGAAATTTGAAAATAGTTGGTCTACTTTAATGAGTAGTAGAGCGAGGCAAAGCTCATACAAGGTCTGAAGCTCTTCTTCCAAATCATTTGCAAAACATGTATAGACTTACTGGTCACAATTTAAATGCAACATGCACCCTTTAATGGCAGGCCCTTTAGATGTGTGTTATATATACATCTCTGACAATATTAAGTGCTTTTAAGTCAAGGTAGTTGCACATAGAAATGTGGCCTATGACCTGAACAGAAGCTGATCTACAGCCTGATTAACTATATTGAAATTCAAGGCCTGGTTCACATGTTTGTTCACGTATTTGGTCTATTTATACAGCCATCTACCTCAAATACTTGATTCTGGAAAGCTAACAATGATTAAAAAGAGAATTAAAAACATTATAAAGAAAGCAATGAGTAGTGCACATAGCAGCTGAGATAAAGGACTAACCGACACAACTAATACAACTACGATACTGGTTTGATCTCACACACAGGGGTCCCAGGCTCAGTAACAAAAGATCTTACGAAAGTCCAGCAGGGTTGAATCAAGTGGAGTGCTCCTTATGTTAGTGAGCAGGCTAGGTGTTTAATTAATTATGCTTCACCAACACTAAATGATCTTGTTCAACTACCAGTAGTAAATATAATTAAATCATACAACAGTGCCCACTGATGATCCAGGACTACATGTAATTAGGCAATATTACAAGAAACAGTACTAATCCATATCTACACAATATGAACAGAAATCTCTTAATATCACCTTAAAGTTGGGTCTGAAATATAAGTCATTTGGAGCTAGGGAAGAAATTCCAAGAATAGACCTCCAAAGACTCTAAGGCCTGACAAAGGAATGACAAAATAATTCTAGCAATTGCTGTGTATTAAATGCAGGCTCTATTTATAATAGGTCTTAATTTTTATTGGTTTGTATTGCATTGTTCCCAATTATAGATATTCCATTCAGTGTTTTGTGACCAAGTTGTGATGGCTGTCCTGAGAAGAAAGATTTGGGGATACCGCATGTGATCCATATATTGTCCTCTCTTGATCTAGAGCTGGCATGAATGAATGATTCCTATCCTTATCAGTTTGAACTATATGTCCTTACCAGTTGCCTTGTTGTAAAAAGCAACAATTATTAACATATGAACAATAAAGTTTTAACAAACAAGAGGTTGGAATTCTTAGCAGTTTCCTTAACAACATACATGTAGTGAAGCAGAATGCAAGGTTGATTTTATTTTTCAACCTAAACATGCTTATTTCCACAACAGAATATTCCTATAAAGAAGGGCAGGATGATGAAAATAATGTGCTAGTTAAAAGTGCTAACAATGAAAAGGATATAGGATAGCTGACTTAGAATAGCAGAATATAGGGATCTTCTATCACATCCTATAGAAACATACATCTATATTTATGTAAGGGAAATATAAAGCTAAAACTTTTTTCCAGAAATGAATTTACTAAAATTAAATATGTTATCATTTGTCTCATGGAACTAAGTAGTGACAATATTCCACATTTACCAAGAGCCTAATGCAAGCCATGTATTTTGAGTATAAGAATGCTACATCCTGATACCTTTTTGGCATCTTCAGCTGTAAGAGAGCTTCCTTCAGCTTCTTCATTGGTGATCAATGAAATTCCTTCTAAAAGTAATCAAGTAATTTACAGTTAACCTTTTTCACATTAGCACATCAAATCAAAGTATCATAGTCAGAAATCAAAATATTTTTTGAGATCCACATGACAGCATCATTCATATATTGGCTAAGTACCATAAACCTAATTCAAATATTAAATAAATATAATCCATTAACAATATTTTTTGAAGCAAGGCATTCTGTTCTTCCACAGAACTATTCTACAATCTAGATTATCTGGATTAAAAAGAATAAAACAAGCTGAAGCAAATTAGTGATGAGGGGGGGTACAGACATTTTTAGTCCTTCTCATTTTATCAGATATGTTTAAATCTTCCTTAAGAGATAAGTTGATTTTGATCTGGCTTACTGCAGAATTTTCCCCCAACATCAGCCTGTCTCACCTCTACTACTAACATTTCTGTAGCCCAGCTGCTAACTTCTTCAGAGGAGAGCCAAAACTGAATTAGGCTACAAATGTCACAACCCACATTCAAGAGATGAGAATGGTTATAACCAACCTCTAATTGATGACAACTCCCTCCCTATATAAGTAACCAGATGTTTATGAATATTGATTGCCTCTATAATTATTATGGGGAAAAACATCTGCTCGGGAAGCTGACATTTTCTATTTTATGATTTAACACCTATATTTGATATACAGCCAAGATTGACTGTCTTATGTTTTTAGCCAAATATTTCTTTCATACTCTTTAATTTGTCATTAATATAAAAATCCTTTAGCTGGGAAGGATTTATATAAACTAAATGGCTTTCTGTTTTCGGGATGCACAAGTCTTTATGTATGTGCCTGTTAAAAATAAAAGCTATATGGGCATGAATGTTTGAGTTATTGTTTGCCAGTTTTAAAATTAGCTTACACAAAACATTCTTTTGATTGATTATTCCCCACTTGATTGAAGCATGACACATAAATCTGCCTTACCTCTATAAAAACTTTCTGCATTACATCTATGAAAACATTTCCCTCATTCCATCTGGAGATGCCTACCCAAATTTCAATAAGCATGAGAACAAAGAACGTGCTATAATACTTTTATTTTACGTGGCTGGCCAAATTTAACAGGTAAGTTATGATATGTTATAAATTATGCATAAAGAAGCACAAACAGATCCAATGGAAAGTGGGGGGGGATATCTCAGCTAAAAAGTACAACAAAGTAAGTATAAATCTATTCAAATAGATTTTGAATTCTGGCTATGGGTGATTTCCCCTCCCCCAATTCACTATGCCCCAAAACATTCAAAATAGAATATACTGTTTGAATGCTGCTTGCATTGAATATTTGGTTCAAATATGTTAGCATTATAGTGAATGAGTTGAATGCATCCAACCATTTCTAGGGATGAACTATGATAATACCTCTTCTGTGGGAAGCTTTTGATCTAGTGGCTGAACAGCAGAGGAACTATTCTCTGCCAATTCCCTGGGCTCCACCAATACTCTTTCGAGTAGTGGAGAAAATGGAGCTAGGGATAAAAATGGGGATGAAGGGATTAGTGAAGCATTCCATGACTCACACCCCTTCCACCTGCAGGATAACACAATATGAGATGAAACGTGTTTTTATAATAGTACAGGGTTCAGTATTACAATTACTAGTAGCAGAATGACTATTGTGTGCCCACTTCTTTCATCAAATTCATTGCATGTCTGCAATTTGTATTTTAAAATGAATACTTTCTTTACGCACATGTGTTTGTGCACACAGGAGTACACATACATACACACACACAAAGAATAGAATTCTTTATTGACTAAGAGTGAGTGTGTGTGTGTGTGTATTCCTGCATGCATATATACATGTGCATACAGGAATACAAATAGACACACATACACATCAGGGGTAGGATTCTACAGGTTCGCACCTATTCACTAGAACCGGTTGTTAACATTCTAAGCAGTTCGGAGAACCGGTTGTTAGAAGAAATTACTGGCCTAATCCTGTAAGGAAGGCAGGAAGGAAACATTCTGGTGTTGCTTACAGAAACTGCCTCTCCATTAACCCTGATTACATTCTTGGCAGGACTAGACTTCCTGTCTCAGGAACTTCTCTGGAGTTTTTTCCCCTCCTTTGCTGGTACTTTGCTTGTGTGGAGTGACCATTCAAAGTTACAATGGCACTGAAAAAAGTGACTTATGACCATTTTTCACACTTACGACTGTTGCAGCATCCCCACAGTCATGAGACGCCAGGCGAGGAGATGCGTGCCTTGATGTTGAGTTGGCCACGCCCAGCCAGTCACATTACCACCGTCACACCCACCAACTAAGCCATGCCCACAGAACTGTTTGTTAAAAAAATTGAATCCCACCCGATACACATATATTTCTTTTGTACTCCTGTGTGTGTGTTTGTATGTGTCTATGTATGTGTGTGGTGTGTGTGTGTATATATCAGGTGTACATTTGTCACCTAGACAATAAGATGAGTGATATCTAAATTTGATAAATAAATACAATAATTAAAATAATTATTTTGAATAGTAGTATTTTCCTTCACATTTCTGATATCCTTTACAACTAAATCCCATCTTCCTCTGCTGCATACCATTAACTATTATTTGACATACCTTGTATCACAATCTCCCAGAAATCTGATAAGTTTTTGTCTTCCACCTTTTTTTTCAAGGCCTCCAAAAAATCATTAAAGCACTGCACTTCTGAGAGCTGACATGGTGACAACAGCAAAGGAAGAAGACAGAGAAATAAAAGTTAGCTTGATACCCAAGAGACACCATATTCTTAATTCATTGTGATACTCTGAATGAAGTGGGCGTAGAAGAGAATTTCAAACCACCACACAGACATTTATCTGCCCCCAATTGGATTCAAGCTTCTACTATGTGGTATATCATAAAAGAAATGTGATTTATCAAATCATTTATCAAAGGAGCAGTGCTACTTTGGTGGCTTGAACTAAGAAATTATTTTAGATGAAACTTCTGTTTCATCTAACAGTTACAGGTAATTGAAAATTTCAAGAAAGCTTGATCTGTTCAGAATATGGACCTCAGATCGAAAACAGAGCACAGCCATATCTTTTCTATCTCTAGCAATTTATAACTATTTCGTTCTGTGTATTTTTGATGCCACTTCATCAGTTTTCAATTTTAAAAAATGCATATCTCTTTGATCTTGGTTTCCATAAAAGATTATTGCTTTTATGTCCATGTTACCTTAATGGCGTCCTCTCGGAAGACTTTTATGCAATGGATGCTCTTCATATAATACACAATCCCTCTGTTTTCCAAAAACTGGAAAATGTGTTTTATCAGCTGCTGACTAACTGGAAGACAAGAATCATAAAATTCAGACATATCATTTGGAATGAGTAAGCAGTGTGGATGTCATTCAAGTTGTGCAAAGTATTACAATCCTGATAACTCAAGCATTAACTTTAAGAAACCATCCTTGGACTCAGTGCTACTGAACAGTTTTTACCCTTCTCTTTTGCAGGAAGGCTGTTGAGAATATAGTCAAACTGCAATATAAGAGTCTTGGAGGAAGCAGATTACCTGGCCATTTTTCAGTTAGAATTCAGATCAGGTTATAGTACCGAGATAGCATTGATTACAGCTGCTGCTGATCTCTGGAGAAACCAGGATGGTTGTTTCTATCCTGGCCCTCTTTGATTTTTCAGTGGTTTTCATATGATTGGTTATGGCATGGCTCAACCTAGGAGACTAGAAATTCAGGAAAAAGTGTTTCAGTATTCTTTTTTTTTGGGGGGAGGGGTGTGGAATCAATACCAGTTGGTTAATTTAGGTGAGGTGGGGAAGAGTAGCCATAAACCGCTGCTTTGAGGAATTCTAAATAACTTTACTACCTCTCCACTCCCATTTAGCATCTACATGAGGCTACCGAGCAAGGTCATCCAATAACATGGAATTAAGTATCATCGCTATGATCAAGTTTGTCAATTTGATGCTTTTCTAAATAAAAGAAATTGTCTTGGAAGATGGACTTTGTTCTTTTTTTAAAAAAATGGATTTCATCACTTGGAAACCTGACACATGTGTATATATGTACCCCAGGCTGACAAGTGATCCATCAAGATGCTTCTGCAGTGTCTAGAAAATGTAGGGGCCTGAGAGTGGAGGAACAAGCTCAGGCTCAATCAAGGCAAGACTGAATGATTGTGGTTTTGGAGTCTTCTCAGATCTTACCAACTTTAGTTTTGAATGGAGTAGACTTTTCCAACACCAAGCTAGTATGCAATTGATACTTAAGGAGTAGCTGACTGCCATGGTTAGGAAGGCCTTTGCCCAGTTCCATTTTTCTCCAATAGTTTCTGCTTGTCCCATGCTGTCCAATATACCATGCCTTCTCCAGGTCCCTTCTGTTAAACTGTCACTTAATGGGACCCCAAAAAGGTGTCTTCTCTATTGTGGTACCTGCCCCATAAACAGCATAGAAAATTTAGATAGTTCCAAGGATGCTGATCTTTCATTAATTCTGAAGACCTGGTTGTTGTCTGGGTGTTAGCTATGGGGTGAGTTCATCTTAATGCTATGGGTGTATAATTTTAAAGCGTGATATGTCAAGCTAAATTTTTAAGGAAAAAGATCCATGTTATATATATAAAAAAGATGAGGGTGTGCTATCACAACCCTGTGATCTTTTGAAGAAACACATCTGCCAATATGTAACTGTTAAGTCAAATTAGAGAATCAAAATAACTTAATTTCTCTTGTTCAGATGCTTTATAGCAGTGATCCCCAACCTTTTTTATGCCG